CTACTGCCTGCCTATCAACTGTTGCCATGAAACGTCTAATAACATAAGTGTCCTGCGTCATCCTCGTGATGAGTCATTCAATTCAATCTGGGTGAATGCCAAGTCCATAGCTGAGATAAGGATTGCGATTAGTCAGTAAAGCAACCATTCTGCTTCTATAAAATTAGCAGAACATTTGAAGTTCTGTTAAGTTTAAGCCTGACGGCTCTTATAAGCCCAGTCCTGACTTTGTAACGTTTCCATAGTATATTGTACTAAGGCAAGTGAAGAAGAGCTTAAAAGTTGGTTGTCATCGTTTGAACTTCTTAGATTCGAATGAGCGTGCTATTGGACTATGTCATAGAGCAGCGAAGTGAGAAGCGGCTTTTTAGACACTCTTGCTCGGGCATCGGGCAGTTCTTGTTTTGTTCGTCATTTATGCCATGGTTTATGGTATCCTATAAGTTGGACCAGCCATGAATTGAGTTTCTGTTCAATGTTTGCTTTTCAGAAAGTGTGTTTTGTCACAAAACCGGAAAGTGTTCTTGTCAAAAATTCACCGCGAAAAAATTGTTTCTGTTGTAGGAGTACATCTTGGCTCTATATTTTCATTACGAAAATTCGTTTCTCAGGTTTGTTTAATTGGTTTTTCAGCAAAGGGTGACCGAGAAGAACCAAAATGTGCTCCGCCTTCAAGCGCAACGCAACGAGCTTAACTCAAAGGTATTCTTGATAATTCTCCTTACCCAACCTCACTCGCTTCAAAGGCACTTTTAAGGTCCGTATGCTGAAGGAGGAATTGCAGCAACTTCAAGAGCAAGGTAGCTATGTCGGAGAAGTGAGCAAGGCGATGGACAAGAAAAAGGTCCTCGTGAAGGTATGCCTTTTATTCGTTACTGATGAACTAAGGGCTAAAGCGCTCTGTGCTGTAGATGACCTAATAAGATTTTACTCTGCTGCTATTTGCAGGTACACCCTGAAGGAAAATACGTGGTGGATGTTGATAAGGGTATAGAGGTAGCAACGATTAATACTGGCTGTCGTGTTGCTCTCAGAGCTGACAGTTACGCTTTACACAAAATTCTGCCAAACAAGGCGAGTTTTTAACTGATGGCTTCCATTTTGTTCTTTTGTTGGACTGGAAAGTGCCATCTTATATTTTACGTTCATCTAAGTCATTCTTAGGTAGATCCACTCGTTTCTCTTATGATGGTTGAAAAAGTGCCGGACTCTACCTATGAGATGATTGGTGGTCTTGAACAAATTAAGGAAATCAAAGAGGTATTTCACAGAATCAACGTTTGTGGAGTCGATAGCTTCATTTGTGTCCATTATTACAGGTTATCGAGCTACCTGTGAAGCACCCAGAGCTTTTCGAGGCTCTCGGTATGCGGCGAGGCCAAGGCGGTTTCTTTATTGTGCGCCAGGAACAGGTAAAACCTTACTCGCAAGAGCGGTGGCTCATCATACGGAATGCACCTTCATCCGAGTGTCTGGATCTGAACTCGTGCAGAAGTTCATCGGAGAAGGAGCAAGGATGGTGAGATTCCACATCCTTGTCCCTTTTTATCGAAAAGTTTCATAGTAATTTTGCATAATGCTAAATATCCAAATGTCACACTGTGCTCTATGGTACGAGTTGTCACCAAAATTGGCCTTCAATTTATTAATTTTTAGGTCCGCGAGCTATTCGTGATGGCGAGAGAACATGCTCCCTCTATCATCTTCATGGACGAAATTGATTCCATCGGTTCAAGTCGAGTTGAAGGATCTAGGTATAAGGACATACTCATTTCCCCGCTCAAATGGACGGTTCCGTTTGGCATATAGTTTCCATATACATAAGATCACTATCAAATCCTAATTGGGCTAGAAAAGAACCCTGACCATCCCCCATTTTTGAAAGTGTCAGTTTGCAAAAGTGTTGGGCAAATGCTTTTTTTCACAATGGTTTTCGGATGATTGTTTATTTTAGCGGTGGAGACTCCGAAGTGCAGCGTACAATGTTGGAATTGTTAAACCAACTTGACGGGTTTGAAGCTACTAAGAACATTAAAGTAACCGCTTTTGTTTTAATATTGTCGCTATGAGGTCTTGCAACACATAATTAAGGTCATTATGGCTACCAACAGAATTGATATTCTCGATCCCGCCTTGCTTCGTCCTGGTAGAATTGATAGGAAGGTAATCCTATTCAGTTGTCTTTATTCGTTTAGTCATGACTTCTCGAAATTGCCTGGAATGAAGTTTAACGCACATTTTTTTAGATAGAATTCCCAGCTCCTGATGAGAAAGCTCGTGCCGACATTTTGAAGATTCACTCGCGAAAAATGAATTTGATGCGAGGTATCAACATGAGAAAGATTGCTGAAGCTATACCCGGAGCAAGTGGAGCTGAAGTGAAGGTTAGTCGGATATTCTGTATCGCTGTGTATTCGTTTATGAAATCAATGTTTGCGCTGCTTGCGTTTCACGGGAACTATTTCCCGTGGTACTTGACTGTTTTAAAAGTCTCTGTGCACAGGGGAAGGAAATAGTAGAGTCGGAAGCGAATCAAGCATGAGAGGAAGCGATAGAGGAAGTCACTGGAAGCGTGATTTGCTGATGTGGTGCTCATTTTGCGGACAGAGGAAGCTTTTAGCGCATTCGTCACGTATTTTCGAACCACAAGGAGAGTACATCTGCGACTTTTGTGGGCAGCTCTATATTACCTTTTGAAGATATTGATCCACATAAACTCTCGTAGGATGTTCCCTATTGAAGAAATAAAGCGAAGAATGGTTAAGAGGGGAAAATCCTGGAGTGGATCATACAATCTCTGGTATTGTAGGGACGGATGTTGGAGTACATGGTTTATCTACACAATGACTTGCAGGGGCCAGGCAACCTTTAGGACATGTTGTATTTCTATCCTGCCTCGCAGCTCCGATACAAGTTCGTGTATT